TTTCTAATCTCTATATACATGACTATCACTGGTCACAGTCGCCCACCTTCTGAGCTCCTCGGCATCTGAGCATGAATACAAACTCGTCAGATAGACAGCCTTCCTCTCCCACTAGAGGCTCCATACTCTGCCATCCCTGTCACTGTCCACTGTGTTGTCAGCACCCTCATCCATTCCCCCCTGTCTGCCCTTCTGGTAAATCTAGTCAGCAGTGAAGAAAAATAATTATCAAGGCTGTAGTGATCATATGAAACCTTGGCTGTATCTTTATCCCAAATTGATTTGTTGTAAGGCTCAGTAAAAGCTAAAATGTAAACACAGCTCAGCAATGGTCAGGGGATATGGTGGGCATGCTTTAAATGGGAGAGATGCTGAGTTCTTTTCCCCTGTGGTGTTTGGAAAGGTTCCTGTCCTCTCCTTTCCATTTTAAATGTGAGTGCATTTATTCTCTCTCATTTCTTCACATTTCCAGCTTTTTATTTTTATTTTTTATAAAAGTAGTGGTGCCCAGAACAGAAGCGTTAATCTATTGGTAGCCTGATGTGGGGCAATTAATTAAAGCTTTAAGTTAGGATCAATTTCTCAAAACCCCACACTCGGTAATGGGCTCTAAAGCTGCCCATTCGAAAGGGAAGAAAAAAGGTACATACCTAGCGTCTGGTTATAATTTGGTGCCATCACAATAAGGCAATAATAATTCTAGTTGAGGATTGATAAGGGCCCCTTCTGGTGAATGCCTCATTTTCCTTCTGTTGATCAGAAGCCTGATGGCAAATTTTTTAAATGACTTGGAAGACACAGCATTATACTGAGTATGATAGTCTCCCTTTTCTGACAATTTCCAAAGTTAGTATATCAGTATTTTCTTTTCTGACCACAGGATGCAATGTATTTATTGTTCTCAGACTTGTCCTACCTGTCACTCTGGTTATGCTTGAGACTTGAGGTCTGAGAAGTTCATTCCCAGTACAGTTAGAGTTAGCCAGGCTGTAAAACAAAGAGGTAGAAACCCTGCCTCAGGAGGGGATGCCAAGGCAGGGATTTAGATTCAGTGAAGATTTTCAACTCAAACACAATGGGAATAAAATAGGTTTGGGAAAGATGGAGTCACTAACATTGTATAGACTATGAAGGGAGCATTCTGTTCACGAAGTTTCCAGATTTGGGAGCGATTCCAGATGAGCTACTTAAAAACAGTTTTCAAAAATTTAAGCTTTGGGCAAGCCTTGTTATTCTACCAGAGATGTGTCTTAAGTTTGTCTCCCCCTCTGTGTGTCTCAGAGTTTCAGGGCACCGTTCCCTGTGTTGGTACTCAGATGCTGCTGCTTTCGTGACATTGTCTTACTGTGCTCCTTGGAGGGGCACAAGGTCTCACAATTAGTAGAAGTTGCCAAATCTGCTAACCAAAGTAAATCTTCAGGAAATCTTAGGTATATGTCTTCCTTAATTAGTTGAGTGCCTGTTCATCTATGATTGGATACATCACAGATGTATACCCACAGAACAGAGGAGAAGCAGAAGGATATATGAAGGATCACCTAACTCACCAGAAGGGAAAGTAGCTGAAAAAACACTAATTATACCGTGGATAGATACATTAATGTTTGTATTACTTGAACCTGGGTAATTCAATAAACAAATGAGTTTTATTTTGGTCCATGGTTCTGTGGTTCAGTTCTGAGGTTGAGCGTTTCAATCTATTTTAAAGCAAGGTGGCACTTCTGGCCACACAGAGGCAGAAAGATCTCTGAAGTCGTGTGTGTGTGTGTGTGTGTGTGTGTGTGTGTGTGTGCACACGTGTGTGTGTGTTGTTGTTGTTGTTTAGTGTACCTTGATGAGTTCTTGGGATCATGACCTGATGGAGGTCTGTTCTGCAGTAGGTGAATCAGGTGAGACAAGATAGAGTCCAGCTGTCTCTTGAAAACAAGATAATGTTTGGACATTGGCAGAACACCGCCTCCCAGTCAAGGGCAGAACACTGCCTTGGGATAGTAAGAATGATAGGGGATGGGCTTGTGTTTTCCTTTCTCGCGGACTGGAGTTCTGGGAAAGGGTTTGGTTAATAACAGAACAGGAAAACATCCTTTACTTTGAACTTTGCTTGACTTATGGTTTACGCTATGTAACCTTAGCTGACCCTGCTCATTAGGTATAAAGAGCTACTCTTAGAATTAAACTCTCCTTTCTCCACCTGAGAGTGTGGTCCTTTGCCTTCAATCATTTCGTCATCCACCAGCAGACCTGAGTCTCTACAATGACCCATCAGTAAGGTGGGTAATTTTCCAAGAAAAAGTTTAGTATTCTGGACCTTACTATTTTTAAAGCAGAGTTGAAGTTTATTAAAAGAAATTTCAGGGGCTGGAGAGATGGCTCAGTACTGAAAATCAGCCAACACCCTCCTGTAATTCTCACTCCAGTGGATTCCCTGCCTTCTGGCTTCTGAAGGTAGCACATAGTGTACTTACTACATACAGGCAAAGCACTCATCCACATAAAATAAAAAATAAATAAAATTGGGGCTGGAGAGATGGCTCAGCGGTTAAGAACACTGGTTGTTCTTGCAGAAGACCCGGGTTCGAATCCCAGCACCCACATGGCAGCTGACAACTGTCCGTAACTCCAGTCCCAGGGGATCCGACAGCCTCTTCCAACCTCCACGGGCATTGCACGGCATGGGTGCACTTACCTACATGCAGGCAATACACTCACACACATAAAATAAGCATAAATAAATAAATCTCTTTTAAGAAAGTGTCTTATAGGATTAAAGGTATGTGCCACAATGTCACACTTTTGTTTTTTTGAGACAGGGTCTCGCTATGTACTTCTAGCTGGCCTGGAACTTGATATATAGATCAGTTTAGCCCCAAATTAAGAGATATGCCTGCCTCTGCCTCCCTAATGCTGGGACTAAAGGTGTGCGACCACCATACCTGGCTGTAATAGTTTTTTAGACAGAGTAACGCCATGTATCCCTGGCTGGCCTGTAACTCTCTATGTAGATCAGGCTGGTCTGTCTCCATCTTATGGAGATCTGTCTGCTTCTGCCTCTGGAGTGCTGGGATTGAAGGTGTGCACCACCACACCCAGACTACACTAGGATTTTTTACTCTTGATGAGAGGCTCCAACCAGGTTAAGAAGTCCCTTTCCCTGGCCACATCCCCTTAATTTTCCATGTCTTTCTTTCATGTCTTACTTCCCCCTCTTAGGCTTTTATCCCTTAATTGCAATCACGTATAGACAAAGATATATAGTCAGAAACTTCTTCACTGTTAAACAGGAATGTAGACCAAACTTAACCACCATGGACTGAGAGTTTCAACCTGCATGATATGAAAAGATCCAAGCAGGAGCATGGAGGATCATATAATTTGATTGTCCTGGCCAGCCAGGAGTTCAGAGTGAGATAATACACACACACACACACACACACACACACACACACACACACACACACAATGTATATATTTTTTCTGACCTTTAAGGTCAGAAAATAGAAAGGTATGAAAGCAAGTGTTGCCATGGCTCCAGATCAACCATGAAACTCAAATGCTGTGATGCCACGTCAATGAGTAGGTGAGCCTGGTGTTAATCTGGCCTCATCCTCCCAAGGAGACAGACACAGCCTGAGGTAGCCTGCTTTGGTGGATAAATCTGGGTTCCTTCTAGCACTCAGGTATGACATGAATCCTACAGGGCTCAGTCTTTTTGCCCCAGTGTGAGACCCTCTAGGTGCTGAATCTCCCATTACTCAGTACTGAAGAAGGCTGAACCCCAGTACCAGCCTGGAAATGTGGGCTCCACTGTTCCTGAAATGGCCCCATGTTCTCAATGTTTTCTCCAGTGCCATTTCTCCTAGCTCACACTGCCTCTAGTTTGGAGGCAAACATTGGAAATGGTTTAGCAACTTTTGGGTCAATGCGGTTTGGACTATGCAAATCTCTTCTCTTTTAATAAATCCTTAACTGAAGGTACTGTGTACACGCACACACGTATACACACACACACACACACACACACACACTTTTCTGAACAATAACTTAATAATCTGTTAGAAAGCCAGGACACCTACCTCTGTTCAGCTTTATTTTTAACAATGGAATAAGTCACTTCTACTTAAAGTCCATTACACTTAGATCTTATTCAGTTTTCCTTTTGTGACTATGGCTGATCTGGCTTGAACTGGTTTTCAGTGCATGCACAATAAGGTAAACTCTGTCCTTAAAGTGCACTTTTAGGGAGAACCCCTGATTTACCATCTTCTGCTTATGCATAATTGGGCATGCATATGATTAAAATCAGATGCATTATGGGAAGTGACGTGTACCACAGAGGAAAGATCATGTAACTTATCTGTCAATCAAAATATGTGCTATCTTCCTCTTTCCCTTTCACCATGTGCATTATTTTTATAGGAAACAAAATTTTAATGTAAAAACTTAGAAGCAGGACTTGTGCATGTATAGTTCTGGGCTGTAGAAGATTGAGGCAGGACACCGAGAAGTTCATTAGCAGCCTCAGTTGCATAACAAGTTTGAAAACAACTTGGGCTACTTAATACACAGCCTCAATACAAGACAAAAGTGCACTTTATCCTCAGATTTTATTATTATTTTTCACGTTCTAGTCCTATGGAACACAGTCTCAAAAGTCAAAAAGTGAAAAAGAAAAGCATTTTTCCTCTTATCTTGTTTTATTGGCCCAGGGGATTGCTTCCTATTTCAAATCTCAGGCTGCCTACTTAAAATAGTGGAGTTAAAAAGATTACACTAAGAATTTTAAAACATCATATTATTTCCACTTTGAATAAGATGCATAGTTCTATATAATTTGTCAGCATGGACAAGCCCACGTGCAGAGGGTTAAGTTCAATTTTATTTATTTATAATTTATTTATTTTTGTTTTATGAATGTTTTGTCTGCATGTATGTCAGTTCACCCATATCATGCAATGCCCATGGTGGCCCACAGCCCCCTGGAACTTGAGCTAAGGTTGGTTGTTAGCTACCTTGCAGGTGCTGGGAACCCAACCCAGGTCCTCTACAAGAGAACCCAGTGCTCTTACCCCAGAGCCATCTCATCTCTATAGCCCACAAGTCAAAATGTTTAACAAGGGTTCAAACGTTCCAGAGGATGACTTGCTTTAAAATGCCTGTGGGCAAGATCTTGTTATTTAATTCATACATTTATCTTGTGTTTGATGGAGCTGGTTATCTCTTTCCACGTTGTGGGGTCCAGGGATTGATGAGAGACATCCAGACTTGGCTGCATGCCCCTTCGCCTGCTGAATAAGCTGCCTCGAAGGCCTGAGCTTATCCTTGTTTCATTCTCCCATCAGGTGGAGCCATCTAGTGTCTCTCTGGGTCTGAGGAAATAAAAGTACCTGAAGAACTTTCCAGCTGGAGGGAGCGTTGTAAAGAATGTCCAGTCAGGCACGCAGAGACTTGGGGGCAGAATTCGTTCTGAAGCCTGTGGCTTTTCCTCCCTTTCACAAGGATAAGTGAACATTTTCAAAGGGCCAGGATCTCCCAGAGGAAGTTCTGCATTAAGATAACTGCAGGAAAGAACTTAATGTTTGGTTTCCTGGTCCGGTCCTGCGGTCTGCTGTCACTCAGAGGCTCAGACCCGATGGTCCACTGTGCGGCGCTGCTGTTCCATCTCCAGCCGCGCTCCGGGCAGGGGCGGGCTTTGCAATCTGACCCGCCATCTTTCCTCCCCTCGGTCCCTCTAGGTTCGGGGACCCCGAGACTGTGTGCTTTGTCCTTTGGCCCTGCGACTCTGCTGCGGGAGGAGCGCAGTGAGGACAGGATGTCCGGGAATCAGGAGATGGTGAGCGGGTCCTGACGGGAGAAGGCCGAGTCCACTCCCCGCCGCTCCGGGAGCCCCGGGCGTCCTGTCCCGGCCCTGCTCGGGGCCTCGAGTCCGGGCTGCAGCGCTGTCCGCAGGAGTCCTGGGCTCGGGGGCTCGGGAGGGCGCAAGGGGGGGGCGGGCGGTGGAGCGGCCGGCGCGGAGCTGCGGGGTTCTCGGCCCTGGCCTGCGGCCCCGGGGCGGGGGCGGCCGGAGCGCGGCTCGGGAAGGGGGTTGGTCCCGGCGCCCGGCAGCCCAGGGAACCCGCCCCTCCTCGACTTTGCGGCTCCTCTGGGTTTGTTTCGGGGCTGCCTGTCTCTGCATCTGTGATCTCTGTATCTCCACGTCTCTGTGGTCTCTGTAGTCTGTGACTTGCCTATGAGGCTGTCTCACTATCTGAATCTAGTTATCTGAGCACGAACTCCATCCTTTGTCTCTTCTATCACTAGCCCCCCCCCCTTTTTTCCCCGGGATCTCTCTCTACCTCTTTCCCAGAATACATTTCCTGACGCTCTGCAGTCTCTAGGAAGGGAGTTGAATGACCTTGTTTAGGGACTGTTTCTCTTTTTGGGTCTGTGCCTCCCTCCTCCCCTTGTGGGCTGCGGTGAGGTTGTGCCTGGGGATGGAACCTAGGGCTTCATGCTTATTAGCCGCACTCTCTGCCATTGTGATAGGGTTCCTCCTTATCAAATAATTAACTAGTTGACTAGCTATTTTCTGTTTTTGAAACAAGGTCTGACTCTGTAGGTCAGGTTGATCTTGAACTTGCAATCTACCTGTCTCGACCTTCCGAGTGACTGATTACCCTCCACCGTCAGGACTGGCTCTGTGACGTTTTTTGTGGAAATGAATAAAGAAATGGAGATGCTTTTTTTCCCAGGTGCCCAGGAACTAGCTGTCCTGCCTCCCCCATGTCACTCACAGTGGCCTGTATGGGCGTGGGTGGGGACTGCTCACAAGGCTAAATATGTCTCTTCTTGCCTGGTCTCTGCACCAGAGGGACCCCTGGGAGCACATGGTGCTGTGAAAAACCTCAACATTCAGAGAGCGAAAGAGCTTGAGACAGGTGCAGAGACTCCGAGAGATAGCGCTAGCAAAATGCACAGACAGACCAACAGGACACAGCTGGCCAGGGCCCAGGGACTGGAAGTCAGTTTCATTTTCTCTATTCCTCCCTTATCCTTCAACCCCCTTGAAGATCTGGTGGGTGAGGAATGGACCAGGTGATTTGGGAGCCAGTTCAGAAGCAGAGGACCTGGGGTACCCTGTAGATGCAGCCTCCTCCTGTTTCCCCACTGGGCAGGGCTGTGAAGTGCTGACCTTGCCTTGATTTCCCCAAGGACAGGGTCACAGTCACTGAATTACAGGGAAAAGGGGAGAAGGCTTTGGAGGATGGTTTCAGAGTGGGAAAGTTGTGGGGAGAGGAGTGGGGCTCCAGAAGGAACCAAGAGAATCAGAAGTATACCCTAATTCTGCTGGAGACATAACAGGGTTTTCTGTCTGGGTATTCCTGTGTTTGCAATTAGATCTCTCCATTTCTTTTCTTGTCGTCTCCAGTTTTTTTTGTGTTTTGCAGACCGGATCACATTCTGTAGGCAAGACTGGTCTGGAATTCATAGTGTGGGCCAGGATGACCTCAAACCTAGGGTAGTCCTCTTGCCTCACCGTTCCAAGCCTAGGCATTTATAGACACAAACTCTGGCTCCCTGTACCTTTTTGTCTCTCCACCTTTCTGTGCTTTGTAGCCTGGATTTGAGAACTTGACTTAAGGAGTAGCTGTACACAGGTCTCACCTCTTCCCACTTTCTGTCTTTCTTAGTCTCTCCGTCAGTGCTAAAGTGAAACATGGGATGTTCAGATCTCACTGCCACACCAGGAATGGTGGTGTAGCCCTGCAAACCCATCTATCAGGAGGCTGAGGCCAAAGGAAGGATGGAAAGTTTATGGCCAAACCTTGCTACAGAGCAAGTTGAAGGCCAAGTGGGGCAACATGGGAAAACCCAAACTGTGTCTGTGTTTGTGTGTGTGTGTACACGATGTGTCGTGCACTGTGTGTGTGTGTGTGTGTGTGTGTGTGTGTGTACAATGTGTCCTGTACAGTGTGTATGCTTGCATCTGCATATTCGTGTGTGACTATGATCATGCCCATGGCACACACAGTTGCAGAGTTCAGAGGACAACCTCAGGTGTCAGGTCTTGCTTTTAGTCTTTGAGACAGGCTCTTTGCTGTGTTTTCACTGCCTATCCCAAGGATTCTCCTGCCTGCCTCCCATCTCCTTTAGAAACACTGGGATTACAGAAGTTTCTGCTAGGCCTCCTCCTTTAGGGAGGTTCTGGGGATTTGATCTCAAGTCCTCACAATTGCACAAGTGCATTTATCTATGGAACCATCTCCCCAGTCTAGCCATCTCCCTGGTCTAGCCATGTCACCAGAGTCCCCTGAAACTCAATTTCTTCTAGAGCATGGAGGGTTGTCACCCTTGTCTGCCAGTGTGGTTGAGCCACAGCAAGGAAAGTCAGAGCAGTTGATTGGAAAGTTCTAAGATTGCTTTAAAGTCAACTTGCCCTCCTCACTGGATCCCTGAAATACTGAAGTATGTGATATAGAGCTCTCCCCATCATACAGATAGGGAAGCTGTGTCCAAAGGAAAGATTTAAGAGCGGACTCCCAACTGCTTGCCACCCTGGGGGAAGACACTGTAGACAGAAATATGGCTGGCAAACACTCAAACCAGGAGAGGGAGTCACACAGCTGTGGGGGAATGGGGTCCTTTTATAGCAGTGAAATTACTGTCTCTGGGGACATTTTTATGAGGTCATACTTGAATTGCGTTCAAGAGGGCAGCTCACTATCTTGAGGGAGTAATTTTTGTAACGTGTCTTTCCTGACACTGGCCACTTGAAGTGAGGTGCCTGGGGCCATTTGGAGTTGGACTTTTGTTGTTTGTATAAGGTATCAAGTCATTGGGTCAGGCTTCAGGCAGTTAGAGCCTGACTGCTGGAGGTAGTGGAAATTGAAAAGCAATATTTGTACATTTATTTATTGTATGTATGTGTGTATATCAATACATTCCACACTGTGCATGTGGAGGTCAGAGGACAGCTTTGTGGAGTCAGTTCTCTCCCATCACCATGTGGGTTCTGGGGGAATGAGAGGTAATTTGGCTTGGTGACTCGAGCATTAAAATTGTGTTGTTTATTTTTGGTCTTTAATATCTGGGCCTCTTTTCTTTTGAGACAGGGTCACATTATGTGGCATTGGCTGACCTGGAACTTTCTGGGTGAAACAGGTTGGCAAATTCACAGAGCTCATCTTTTTGCCTCCCAAGTGCTGGAAATGCTTTGGAGTTGAGATGGGGTATGGGGAGTATCCTCTGGACATTCTTGATTGACATAGGTTATAGATCAGAAGGTATAAATTACTTGGTTTTCATTTTGGAGTGGGTAGGGATTAGTTATTGCAGTAGCAGTGTGGACTGTGAGGTCACTAGACATGAAGAGGTTCTTTCTGGTAGGAGGCCACTCGGCATACATGTAGTGCTTGAAAGGCCCTTTGTAATAGAAGAGTCTGTATTTGTTGACTATGTTTTCTGAATCAGGGGAAGGCCCTTGAGTTGGAGGATTGGGTGAGCTTTCTTTTAGGGACTTGCAAGGAACCCCTTGGCTCGGTTAGTTGCCTTTCACAGTGGTGTGCTGGGAGGGAGGGGGGCGTGGGTCAAGGTCTTCCTTGAATGAAAAATAGAGTTTGGAACCCTGCTGTTGTTTAACACTTAAAGCTTGCAAAAAACATTTGCTTGTTTGTTCTGAGACAGGGTGTTCCTGTAGCTCCAGCTGGTCTGGAGCTTACTATGTAGACCAGGCTGGCCTCAGTTTCACAAAGATCAGCCTGCCTCTGCCTCCCAAGTGCTGGGATTAGGATTAAAGGTGTGTCCCATCAGGCCTGGCTGCCAAAAAACATTTTAAAGTAAATTGTGACTCTGAAGTCTCAGTATGTTTAATTCTGACAGACTCTGAAAACAAGGAATGATCTTGAAACAAGTAGATCTTTGCTCTTTAAGCAAATTTTTCTTTTTTAAAAATTTTATTTATTATTTTTATGTGTATGTATGTATTGCCTATGTAGGTAGGTACACCCGTGTCGTGCAGTGCCCACAGAGGGCAGAAGAGGCTGTCGGATCCCCTGGAACTGGAGTTACGGATAGTTGTTAGCTGCTGTGTGGGTGCTGGGATTCAAATCTGGGTCTTCTGCAAGAACAGCCAGTGTTCTTAACTGCTGAGCCATCTCTCTAGCCCCTCTTTAAGCAAGCTTTAAAACCATATTTTTTTGCGTTTACTTTTATAAATATTTTATTAATATACTTCATCGCTCTGAATTTCATCTATTTATAACAGTTCTTGATTTTAGAACAAAACTTATTTAGGAAAAAAAATCATTTCTTGTCCAAAATAATTTCCTTCATTTATAAATGTGTTTTCTAGACCTGTAACTTTTTCATCTTTTGTTACACAGGCCATTTCTCTTTTCTCCTATTAGAATTCAATTTCCTGTGTAATTTAGTCTTTTGTCTTAAAGCCATAAATGTTGCAACCCTCTGATGGGGTCTGGGACCTGGGTCTAGGAGTGGCAAAAATCAGGACACAGGGGATGCAGAGGATGTAAAGCCAATGCATACTTTATTCTGAGATGCAGCCTTATTTATAGTAAAACAAGAGGATGATAAAATGTTCTTTTCAAGCCAAATTATCTCATCGTGATATTTACAGTACCTTCATACTATTTGCAGTACCTTCATGTTCCTAGGGCTCAGCCCTTCTTGGAATCTTATCTGTCCTTCTGTGCTTGTTAAACGACATTCTGTTCTTTACTTATAACTTTATTAGCTACACAGCTTTAACAGGGTTTAAGGAACAGTCAGTCTCATGACAAGAATAACTTCAGGCCAAGAACACTCAAGTCCCCAGGGAGGAAGTGTTCTTCCTCT